CTCATTTTCCACCTTAGACAGTCTAATGACGTTATATTCTGCCCTTGTCAGATCTAAATTAGAGTACGCTTCTGTGGTTTGGAACTCTGTGACCAACACTGACTCTAATAAACTTGAGCGTATACAAAGAAAATTCGCAGCACTTTGCCACAACCGATTTTTTCACGACACGGAGTATCATTACATCAATATGCTTGATATGTTAAATCTGCGATCACTCCACACTAGGCGTCGCCACATAGACGCCTTGTTCCTAATATGTGTTTTTAAAGGTGACAAAAACTGTCCTTCGGTCCTAGAAACAGTTGGTATTCGAGCTCCCTCTCGGAACATCCGTAATTTTTCCCTGTTCTGCTGCTCCTCTAGTCACTGCCCGTCAGCCAGATGTGTCTCTGCTGCTAATTTAGTGTGTAATTCTTTAGACATTTTTAGTAATTCTAAAATAAGTTTAAAAAATCTAACTATTTAATTGTTCTTATAGTTGCATCAGATTTATTTCTCAATTAATTATCTAAACATCTCATTTCTCAGTCCTAAAATATAATTAATTTCTCTTATTATTATTCTTATATTTATTATTATTGTAATTATTATTAAAAAATGTGTCTATTTAATTTGTTCATGTTACTTTTTGCATGACACTTGTTGTCACTTCTTCATTAATATATTTACTTCTGTAGTACCTTTGACATATGTTTTACTTAGACACTGCTTGGTTTCGTCTCTAACATCTAATTATGTTCTTTCAATTGTGCATATTTGCAATTGAATTTTTGTACTATTTTCATCAATCTCTCTGTATATTGTGTCCTCGTGCTGACTCTGTAATTGGCTACCAGCTGTTGAGTACAGCACGTAAATAAAACCAAGAATTGAATTGAATTGAATTGAATTATTATAAAAAGTAAAGAGAAGTAAAAGTATCCTTGTAACAGGCTGTGGAGGCCAATAGGGTTGTGAGATGTTGAGGTTCTCACATTTTCTAGACAATTGGCTCATAGATGGCAGCAAAATTGTCAGCCCTTTACCCCCAAAAATATTTCAAGAATATTCCTGGTACCGATTTCTGTTAGAGGCTGAGTTGACCCCAGGGCCATAGTAAGGCTGGAAGGATTAGGCCAATTGAAAAAAATCCAATGACCTCATCGGGACTTAAACCCGCGACCTTCTGGCTTGTAACATAGTGCCTCAACCAACTACGCTACCGTGTGCCCCTTATCATGTCATCGTCATCACCACCACCACCCCCCCAGTATTTATCTCCATGGAAAAATTTGCAGCTATACGAAGGGGTACCCAAAAGAAACCGAACTTTTTTTTTAAACTTATTTATTCAAATTTTAAGCACAAACCTTCAATCCCCATCAAAGTACTCTCCACTTACACTAATACACTTTTCTAGTCTTTTATTCCATTTTTCAAAACATTGTCTAAATTCATCTTTTGAGATGCTTGACAGCGCCTCCGTCGTTTTTTCCTTTCATGTCTCTCTTCATTCGAGGAAACAAAAAAAAGTCACACGGGGCAAGGTCGGGTGAGTATGGAGGGTGAGGAACAGGGGTCATACCATTTTTGGTCAAGAATTGTCGTACAGACAGGGCTGTGTGAGCAGGGGCATTGTCATGATGGAAAAACCAGTCACCCGACTGCCACAAATCTGGCACAAATCACTCCCGACAGCTCCACAATTTCTTCAATGGTCCGTCATCGATCTTCCTTGATTTCACAAATTTTTTCAACGTTTTCCTGTGTTCACGAAAATCAGCCATTGCAAAAACGACGATCACACAAAACAGTTGTCACTATAAACTGCCGAAACTAGTCCTTACCTTCTGAAGCAACAGTAGTCGGCTTATCGACTCAGGAATGTTAGCTCTATGCGCTCATAGCGGCAAAACACGGTACTACAAAAGCTCTGCCAACAAAAAAATTAGTTCGGTTTCTTTTGGGTACCCCATCGTACTGTATGCATTGTATACTGAGTATTGTACATAATCTTCAGATTTGATTGGCATATCTGATTGTCCACAAATGACATAGCATCAGTGTAATCAGTCTAAGATTACATCAAGGAGTATTGTGAATGTGTCTGCAGGTTTTTATGTTCGGATGTCCTACTGTCTTTCAGTAAACAAAACGTTTTTGGCTTCTGTAATTGCACTGTAACAGAAATGTTCTATCTTTCAGCAAACAAAACGTTTTCAGCTTCTGTAATTGCACTGTAACAGAAATGTTGTCTCTACCCCTTTCCATTGCAGATGACATTATTTAAACCCAAATGAAAATAATATAAATTACATAATAAGGAGCTTTATATAGTTTTCNCCCCTCCGTGCTGTGACATAGCCACCCCCGCACTGTGATGTGGCACAGCTTCCCTCTGTGACGCGGCACCGCTTCCTACTGTGACGTGGGCATGCAACGACGCTGTTGACACGGGCAACAGGCAAACACTGCGACTATATAAGGGAACTACACAGCCACTGAAGACAGTTCTCAAGTTCTCAAGACAGTTGCCTACAAGTTGAATTGAATTGTGGTAGTCACCGAGTTTAGTTGTAACGAGTGAATCGTGGTAGAGTGGACAGATTTGTGTGTAGGGTTCTAATGTGTGTAAACCTGTAACATTGTTATAAATAATTGTAGCCGATACTTGTAAGTTGTTAAATAAACCAATTAACAATCTGAACGGCGTCTTCAATAATGAAACACGTTACAATATTAATGGGGTGATCAAATCAAGGAGAATGGGATGGATAGGAGACAAACTACATATGAATGAGATGGAAAATGCATGTATCATTTTAATTGTGAAGCCTAAGAACTAAGACATAGATTGGAAGTATTAAAATTAATGTTAAATAAATATCGAGTGAAGTCGTGAACTGGATTCAGATGCTCAATAGTAGATCAGTAGATAGTTCTTTATGAGTTTGTGTCAAGAAATAACAGTTTTTCAGGAAATAAGTCACAGTTTGATATTTCTGTTACTTGTGACTTACACTTAAAATTCTCTTTGCAGGGTATGTGGCATCTAATTAAGTACACTGCAAAACTTGGACCTCTTGGATTCTTTAAGGTAAAAGTTCTTGCCTGTTATGTTTAAAGAATATCATTTTGAACTCAGTTACCTAAATTTCCACACATTTTCTAAATAAAAATGTGAAATTGTAAGGCAGTAAACACTGAAATCGGTTAGACAGAGATGGGATAGGTATGTCTCAGGTAAAGCATTAAAGCAAAAAGGGATTAAAATGACTCTGAAAGTTGTTGGATGAAAGTTTATGTTACTATATTTGAAAACTTTGGTAAAACAAATAAACAACAGTGAATATAAAGATAGGTGGTATATTTTGTATTGTTAAAAGTTCTGTGCATATGCTTGCTTTTCCTTGCTGTAATTTATTGAACTTGCAAACTAAAAGGGACAAATGTCACTCTAGTAAATAGATAATAGAATAGTGGTACATGCGAGTGGAATGTACTGAACTCAAAATATATGTTTTGCTGTTATATGTGTTAGTCATGTCTCCTGACATCATCATTGTAACATGACTTCACTGTATTATCATCATTAATTATATCATTATTCTTCCATCAGCATAAATATGTCTTCACCATCATATATCACCACAGTCAGTTTTCATAGGTCTCTGTCCTTATCAGGCTCCACCATAATCATCTGTTATTGTCAGTTTGAATCATCAGTCTCCACAACTAATCATGAATATCAGGCAGTGGCAGTCTCCATCACCAATTCATTTATTGGTTCTTGGTTTATTTATTATGTGAAATATATAGAAATTATATCTTGTGAATTTGAATGTGAATAGATAACTGAGATGCCCTGATTTAAGGCAATGTCCCAACAGTTACCTGGAGAAACTGAAGAGAAACATATAAAACATCAGACAGGTAGTCAAGTCAAGATTTCATCATCAATTGTTGGCATGAATTTCTTTATCATCAATTATCAGTCGTCACCATTATCAATTACCACCCTCCACCATCAATTACGATCAGTCTTTATAAAAATAAATATTTTGTCACTCCCATCATCTCGTTACTTCTATTATCTTGATTGTCATAGTTATGAATGATGCATTTGAAAGGATGTGGAAGTGGTTGTGGCCTATTTTAAAGTGATGTCACAACATATGCCTCGAGAGACTGAGCTAAACTGCAAAACACGTAATCTGAACATCTGGTCATTGGGCTGAGATTTTATCTCTGAACATCCTAGATATAAAGCGGGAGTAGTGACTTCTGCACCATGACATTTGGTCCACACGTAATGAATTTCATTAATTATAATTGTCGATGGAACATCATGAGTACTAATTCAGGTTGGTCTAAAGTAACACTAATTTTATGTAGCCATGAGGTGCTTGGTTCGAATCTCTACAGTTGCACTCACTATTATGACTTATGTTTCTCATGGTTTTCCTCAGTTCTTCCAGGTAAATTGCAGGCTATTGCCTCTGTTAGGTCGTGACCGCCCTCTTCTAAGTCCTTTCCAGGTAATCATTCATCTGCCATGCTACCATCCGAAACTGTGCATCTCAGTGCCAAAAGAAGAAGTGTTAAGTATCCCACAGAAAGAAAAAGTTCTGATTATTACTTCTGTTAATTGTAGGAATTAATTTTCAAGATGAAGTGTTTGTTTTATTTTTTACAATGTGCTTACAATTTCACAGGGTTACATCCCAGCTTTTATACGTCTGGGACCTCATACAATCCTCACATTTGTATTTTTGGAACAACTACGGAAGAATTTTGGTATAGCTGTGTCATCCTAGGATGGTAAGAGTGGGAGCAAGGGTGTCATATATAGACACGTACAAATTTAATTGTTATTAAATGTCAAGCAGCAATATGTGTTTCACAGATATATTTATATTTAAGGTGACAGTGTTCCAATGGTGCTATAAAGTTCGTATATAAAACTAAAGCCTGTCATAAGCCAGTGCTATGTGTAATAAATCTACTCTGTGTAATCTTGCTAAGTGTCCTTGTCCACTGGAATATAGAATTTATTGTCTTTGTTGTGGAAAAATTGTCAGTCTTTTGGTGAAATTGCTTAGAACAGTGTTTCTCAACTGCCATGCCCTGGCAGCAATTATACCAGGCCCTTGTCTTATAAAAATAGAATTTATTGGGCAATGGTCTCACAAAGGTTGAGAACCACTGGCTTAGAAAACTTGTCTATCATGGCCACTGACAGTATATGAAGTCCTGAAACCCTGTATTCTAACACTGTGAAGTATATCTATTCAAAAAGTAGTACCTCCACTCTGTGTACACTGTTTTCTGTGCTAATTGTATATTAATGTTGTGTTAGATTGAATTTAATAGAACATAACAAACATCTCTGTCATCAGTCTTTGCTAATTAAATGAATAATATGAGACTTCTTATTAGTGGTGTTTGGTGTACTGATTGTTTAATTGCTTGACTCTTGTTTATGTAACTTCTTCCTCATCTGCATGGTCTGTAATAATGTTGAGTGGTAGGATGGGTGAATGAAGTCTTTGGATGGTTGTGGAAAGAAGCGGCCATGGGCTATGGCATTTCTTTGGAGGCACCAACAGATAACCATGAAAAAAATACTAAGCCAGGTAGCTGTATCCAGGACTACCAAAAAATTAAACACGAGTATTAATCGCTTTACCACAATATTCTGTTTTTAGTGTGTGAGAACACAAATATGAGCGCTGAAGGCAATTGACTTGAATTGGTATTGTTTATAAATGTGTAATGATTAGGTTAGTAGTAAGGTGGTAACATAAAATCTGAAGTAAGACTTTGCTGAGGAACAGATAGTGATTAATGTAGGATAAATCCATTTCCCATTTTTTTGCCCACTAATTTATTGTGTAGGAATTGATAATACTGCTCTGTGGAGTCTTGACTTTGGCACTAGATGAGAGTGAATGATGAACTTCATGCTTCAGCTGTTATACCCATGGGAAAAGAGCCCCTCCTTCCAATTGGATATGATGTTAGTGTGTACAATGTCAAAGAGAAAAATCTCACCCTCTACCTTTTTATATCACTGGTTGTCCGTCCCCTAATCTAGTCACTGTGATTGAGTTACATTGCCACACTTCTCTTATCCTCGTGTTTTAAATTTCTCTTTCTCCTTAGTTTCACATCTGCGACTCTACAATTATACTAACCTCTCTCCAATAGACATATTGCTTCTGGTGCATAATACAATGACAGAGAAGATTCTATTCCATAGCACTGTCTGCTTATGACTCATTTTGTTCAAAGCCTATATTAGTAATAATTATTAAACTGCTATGTTATATATGTAGGTGAATGTTTGGAAGGAAAATATGTTTGTCATAGTGAGGAGCAGAAGTTACAAATACAGTAAAAGTTGCAGTGTCTGGCAGCTCCAGGACCAGAGGGTTGCTGGATATTGTAATTTTCCAGGAAAAAAAAAAAGCCTCGTTGAACGGCTGCTGTACTGCGATGTGGAAAGCAAATGGAAAAACTACCACATTATCACTTTTCCTGGATAGTCTCTTTCCAAAAACAGAAAATCACATTAAGTGGAGGAACTGTTTTGGAAGAGACTGTGGACCTGTCATCTGACAGATTACTGATGATTGAATGAATTATAGTTTTATAACTAATGTGCATCTTAGTGTACCTAGCAACCTCATGGACAGACCTAACTATTTATAATTTTTATTGGGTGCATCCTTTTGTGTTTATTATATAAAATTCTTTATGGGGATCCATTGTAACACAAACACTAAACGGTCTAGGTCAATATCACCTTATCACATGTTTCGGCTTTTAAAGCCATCATCTGGCAAATACATGGTTACTACACTCACACACTTGATATCCAATCCTGTTTTCCCTGCTGCACTTTCTATTCCCTTTTCGTTACTGCATATGTAATGTTAAGTATATTTATATATAATCTTAAAAAAAAAATGAACAAGACACCAGTATTTCACCCTTTCAGTCATTATATTCACAATTAATCAGTCTGGTTCAGAGAGCTTTCTGGATCACCCAGTGCCAGATATCACAGCTTTTACTGTAAACAGAAACAAATGAAGTATTTATATAGTGTTCAGCTTCCATCATTGCCTGTCCTTATTATGGTATGGTAACTTCCACTTTCACTTGTTTCATATAAGTTAAATATTATTGATATACAGTAGAACTTGGTTATAACGTCATCAGAGGGACCTAAAAATAGTGTCGTTATAAACGACTGTCGTTGTAACCGAAATGGGCACTTCCACAGTAGCCTTATGTTAGTCACTTTTTCGCTACTGCACTTCTCTGGGTTTAGGCAGGAACACTATAGGGTAAGTAGACAATGTGAGGTCCTGTTAGACGAGATTCTAGGAAAGGAATGCAGTTAACAACCTGCCGCGTCCTCTTGCACTATTCACGCAGTCCCACCCCACACCCTTGTTTTCGCATAAAACCCA